ACAAATTCCATTTCAAAGATCCCAAGATCATATTTCACGATGTGTTGCTTGTCTGTTCACTGTTAGAAAGACGTAGTTACGGCATTCACAATTCAGTATATGTTGAGAGAATATCCTATATTTTGAAACAGAGTTGATGTGTACTGACTACTTGGTTTTCACACAGCTATCTTTTGTTGACTGACACATTTTTACAATATATAGTCATTAATCCATCCTATTTTTCTGATTTCATTTGGATTTTCATCTTGAATTCAATAGAAAGTTCTCATTTCTTCTCTTTGCATTCATTAGTCTATTGACACACCTCGAGCAGTTTCTATTTACAAAGCGAGCATGTCGGCGAAGCTGATCTCAGACCTAATAGAATATACACACGCACCATCAGATTAGCCGAACTGTACATTCGAATGATCTGAAATGAAGCTGAAATAATGGACGGGACTATGAAAAAGGATTGAGAGTCAGCAAGTACAATAGAATCTCCTTGAATCCGAAAAGGTTACTCAGATCCAAAATTCAAAACGTTAGAGCAGTTGTGCACGTGACGAGTGGATGTGGCAGGTGCTATCTTCCATGCCGTCTTCTAGAATTCTTCTAGCTCGTTTCATTTCTCAAAATAGAAGAGCAGATGCATATTCATCGTTTCATCTTTGCCATGATGAGTCTTCAAATGTTCATGTCTGTCTGATCTTATTATAACCCGAAACTTGCTTCAGATATCGGCATTATCCTAGATTACTACACAATTTTCCTTCGAGATTTCGGGTTCAGTCTGAGAAGTAGACTTCAGGGTAATAAAAGACCGATCCTACTCACAATGTCCAAACTCATGAATGCTATCCGTTCACTTGACAATCCGCTAAAATATACAGGCAGTGTTGCTCGAGAATATTCAGCCAACGGACGAACAATTCTTTCGTGGGCCCGCACTAGTTCAGGTTTTGCAGCTTTGCAAAGCTTGATACTTTGGGGACGTTATCACGCGTTCTGAGTAGTAATTATGGAACAGAATCAGGCGAAAAGAACCATTGAGCTTGAAGAATGCGGTATCTGCATATGTGGAATTGCAAGACACTTTGCGATTTTTCGGGGTCCAAAAAAGGTGTTTTCAGACCTAATATGGCTGGTATGATGTTGGTGACGTTGACAAGTGGACTGGTCTCTGTTGGCCGTGCGCTTGTTGTTGGGAAGGAAGAGAAGGAGCTAAAGCGACATGTGTGCTAAGGACGACAGATTGTGACTTACCTGTGTCAGTACATGAGACTAACGACGCGGTTGGCATTCAGAGAGCTAATGCATGACCTCCATGACCTCCTTGAGGCACTAACTTTGTAATGTAGCTGCAGAGACTGCTCGACATCATACTGCACAAGCTTGCTTTGCTGTCCGACTTCGAATCATACAATCAAGACACGCTGGCTTGCCTCGTATGCAAACCATGAACTCTCATTCTTGAACGGCAAAAGTTCGGATTCGACAATGTCTGCAAGCACAGAGGAAAGAGGCGACAATTGACGATTTCCACGTAGGGGGCTGCATTTCTCTCTACCACAACGTGGAACTTAGCCAACTAGAACACATGAATTGGTGAAATTTTTGAAATGGTCTATCTGGTCTTCTGTCGACGAATTAGTCGTTTTGCAATCTCTATCCAAAAAACCCATTCTCTCAATCTCCTCCACTTCTGTCCTATCTACCGCGGCTCGGGCCGCAAGGTGATTGAAGCGGGGTCGTCTTGAGCAGGCATTCGCATCGACGATGCTTTTTTTGATGCTATTACGAGATTATGACCAATCGGTTCGACTATTAAGATTTTCTCTACTTGGATCTTTCAAACATTTTTGTCCCTCTTTGATATTGGGCACGAATTCAGTGCTTTAAGCTTTTCTTGACCTTCTACTAGCTTGCTAGCAGAAGTACATTAAAGTTCAAGTCAGGTCAAACATCAAAATGTCTAATGATCCTTTAACCTTATCGAGGGAAGGGTCGTTTCTTCTAAGACAGCCCACCCCACGAGAATCCTTGTATAGATGCAGATAATGAAAAAAAATAGTTTTCTGCCATTTCGTAACAATTGAAGATTACAAGGATGACCCACCACTCTCCGATATTCGGTTCGTCTCCATGCATCCTGCACCACGTTTCACACAGCAGAGTGACCGAAATGGCAAACATGCATCATGTAGCAGGCTGCTTTCTAATGCAGAGTAGATTATCGATAGCACCACAATTATGTATAGCCCGTCCACTGTTTCTATGTAGCCACGTTTTCTTCAATCTATTTGTGACTTCAAACATTCTGTATTGAAGATCCCATTCAATACTGTATCTGTACCTGTACGTGGCCAGTCCAACACGAAGGATTTCTCTGTACATTTTTCATGATCCACGAAAAACCACGGTCAATTGTCAGACTAACATTTTCCTCAAGATACTAGCTTCATAGGGAAATTTATTCCTGGATTCAAGAAGTTGGCAGAAAAGTAACACCATGACTATCCCTACTCTGAAATTGAACACCGGAGCCCCAATACCAGCTCTAGGATTCGGTACTTTTCATAATGAAGGATCCCCAGGAAAGTGCCACGATGCTGTACTTTGGGCTCTACAGTCAGGTTATCGCCATCTAGATTGTGCTTGGTAGTAAGTTCAACCCCTATGTCTCATGTTTATCCGTTCATCCCAACTGTATACTCGATATCTCCTGGGCTCATCCCTTCCCTCTTCCCACTAATATCCACCCCTATCCCTTGGTGAAGGGGTGCCGAAGTATCGGAAATATAATTTTCGTATTGCAATTCCGAACCCTGAAACTAACACACCGCAGTTACAAAAATGAAGAAGAGGTTGGGTCTGGCTTGCGAGAATTCTTGTCCAGCAATCCAAGTGTCAAGCGTTCCGATATCTTCATCACAACAAAAGTGTGGCCTCATCTGTGCGGTTCCCCTGAAGATGTCGAGTGGAGTCTGAATTATAGTTTAGAGAAACTAGGTGTCGATTATGTGGATTCTTTCTTGATGCATTGGCCATTCGTCGCGGAGAGGACCGACGACCATGAAGTCAAGATCGGAGATGATGGAAAGGTATAATCCACCAATCGACGTTAGAATCTATTGTTCCCAAGTCTAATAATCCTGAGCAGTACATCATCAATAAAGAAGTCACGGCCAACTTGGAACCTATCTGGCGAAGATTCGAAGCTCTTAACAAAGCTGGCAAGGCAAAAGCCATCGGAGTATCCAATTTTACCATCTCAAACCTGGAAGCTCTTCTTAAGTACGCGGATGTTCCTCCCGCCATCAACCAAGTCGAGATTCATCCCGTCTGGCCTAACACTAAGTTGATCAACTATTGCTTTTCAAAAAACATACTTCCCGTGGCATATTCGCCACTGGGTTCCCAGAGCCAAGTTCCCACTACGAACAAAACTGTTCTCCAAAACTCTGAACTCATCTCAATCGCCGAAAAGAAGGGTGTTAGTATAGGTCAGATATTGATCGCTTGGGGTATCAAACGAGGATACGTGGTCCTTCCCATGAGTTCGAATGAGGGGAGAATCAAGACCAATGGAACATTAGTCGATTTGACTGAAGAGGAGTTCCAAAGCATGAACAAAGTTTCCGAGGGCAAAGAAGCAAGGTTCGTGGATTTGAAAAACACCTTCGGGTGGGATGTATTCGGGGATGAGTAAGGAGATAGGTAGCCAAGCAGACAATTGGCCGTGTCGTGGTGTTTGCTCGTATCGTTCGATTCCACGTAACACAAAGTATCATTATCATATTAGCTAGAATTATGATGCGTATATTCGTATACGTGAAGCAAGCACTGAAAAATAAGCTGATCTGACCTCTCGTGATGTTCTTAACTGCACATGCTATTTGTCTGTCAATTGACTCTGCATTATTAGCTGCCCTTAGCGCTCTATGGTACAGTCACCACTAATGTATATATCAGATTATATTCATCATATCACATTATCTCTCCCAAAGTTAAAAATTTCTTCATACCCTAATCTTATCTCATCTCGGCGAGTTCTCTGCATCAACATTTACTGTCTTGCCGACCTCTTACCTGCATCCCATGAACCACTCTCCTGGAACCAAAAGTCGGTGAAGATCAAACCCTGCGAGAAATCCTTATAACAATCTAAAACATATCAGATTGATATGTTTTAGATTTTTCCAGTGCTCGCTGTACTATGACGAATGGGTACTCCGAATGAACGGCAAGATATGACATCGTTCGCCTTACCCGTGTGTGCATCAGGGTATTGGACGGTACAAAGATTATTATAGCAATTATTGAGGTGTCTGTTTATCGACGATTGAGTATTATCCCATGAAGAAGCTAGCATTTTGCTATGATAGTCATTAAAATCACACCGATAACTCTATAGCACCACACCTGCGACTAATTAGCAAATTTCCGAATCAGCGGTACATATCAATCAAGGTCAACAATATTAGCCATGGCATGTTAATGAGAAACCCAGGACTCGGAGTGAGACTCCACCCGCTCATCCTTTTTAAAATTACAATGATCCTACCGCTGGAAATCTGGGTACAATCGCAGTCTATCATTTGAGAGATACTCATCATCCATGGTATGCGAACCTTTTCACTGCCACCAGTACCAATCATCGAATCGACAGGGAGAGCACCGAAGAATAACGAGTATATGCACAGTCAAATTGTCTGAATGGTTGGTAATACGGTGACTCAATGTCCTGACCGATCTCATTTTTATCTCACTGTTGGCTCGCATCACACATGAATACATACATATATGCATGCATTTACGAGTATATCCGTCCGTAGCGTGTCATAGAAGGTGCATTATCTCAAAGACCCAATACGCCATACCACGCCAAGAGAAATATAGTTGAACCAGACTCCGCCTCACATGGAATGCACCAAGTAACATGAGTGCATAATCTGGAAGCCTACTCTGCTGAACAATCCGTGCAAACCAAATATAATCCATGACTGCAGATATACATGCGTGTGATCGAACCTTCTAAAGCCGATATTGGGGTCGTACTAGGCATCTAGATTGGAGGTTGTAGTAAGGCTATCATATTCATCATCAATCACATCGCTAGCCATCTTAGTTTAATGCTAATATTCAATGCTGAGCCGAATGTTAAACCGGTTTCTTGTCGATCGGGCATAATCCCCGTCGCCGAGTTGGGTGTGCTGAATCAAGTAAGAGCTTCTTGCGAATGCTGGAACGTTGACCACCTTCTTCATTATCAATATGATTGATGATGGAATAGCAGATAGTAACAGATACTAGATTGTAGTCCTACCTCTAAACTTCCCCTCTTCTTCCCCTTTCGAAGCCTCCGTATCTTCCGTATTCCATTGGATCAACTCCGTTTCCTCCTCTTTTTGCTCACTGCTAGCATCATTTATTCATTTGCAATCAGTCAAGCAAGCCCTAAATGTTCCATCTCGAACAACAAAATTCCATCACAAGACCTTTACTTACCAATAATTCGACCAAACCCCCATATATATTCTTGCATAAATTCTGCTCTACAAATCAAACATCACCACCTCCCATCCAAAGAATTATATCGACCCCTCAACATCAAACTTCAAGACCCCCATACATACCATGTACAAATGTGTAAAATCTCCGTGGAAACCATATTCTCGCACTCTCATCATCGAATCAGCCTCGATGCCATCGCCCCACATACAACGGTACGCCATCTAAGTGGTCCGTCATGCCCTGGTTTTTCTCTGACGTGAGGCTAAGCAATATGCGCTGCACCCCTCTATTCGCTTTCCCCTCTTGAAATATATGCTGTAGCACGTGCTTTCCTTCTTCCGTAAGCCGAGCATACCTGCTATCACACAATCAAACATTAAGGGTGCTCTTCGTGCTGTACGTAAACAGGACTCCATCTTGTTTTTCCAAACACACACACACAGCTAGCTAGCTCGTGGAACCTTTAAATTAACAGAAAATGAAGACGAGGAAAAACATAATGCAGACACAACATCAAGAACTTTGGTAAATTTTGAATTGAATTTTGAGATTGGCTTAAGTATCAAACTAATGAGAGGTGCAGTAAAGCTTCCATGAACGAGCAAATCAGTAGTGGATATATAGCCTAAAAGTAACTGGAACAACTCCAATTCAGATCTTCCCGCATGCACAGTGCAACCCTAGTAGCAGTACGTAAAAATCCCAACGTATCATCAAGAAAGAACCCCAAACCCCAAGAATCCGAGAAGAGAAATATTTCATCCCGGGTATACATCGTGAAAGAGAAAAAAAAAAGTGACGAAACTCCCCAAAACCCTAAACCTTAAAAGTCTATAAAAGAAGAGAAGGAATAGGAAAAATCAAAACGATTGGTATTGGTATCCCCGCTGTGCTTGCAATCAATCAATCTTGGTATAACGGAGAAGAAAAAAAAAAACATGTGAAAAGTAAAAAAAACAAAATCCCAGAAAACTTTTCGTCTCATTTCAAATCCTCGTATCCTTTAATCCGAGCTCACACTCGAATTCGAAGATTCTGATGTTTCGGAGGATTTATCATCGTGGAGGTGGGCTTCCCATTCAGCGACTGACATGGGTTTTTCGGTCATGGCTGCCAAGCGGAAAAGGTGGCGGGCTTGAATACGGGAATCGTAGTCTACGGTTGCGGTGTCTATTCTCTGTGTTAGAATTTGTTTGTGAGTGGAATAGTAAGAATGATAAAACGTACGTAGAGTGCTTCGCCCATCAAACATAACTACTGAGTGTTTTTCCCATCCTACTCTAGCCTGGAAATCGTGGCCCATACAAACATGATCCACCAAGAATTTAATAAGCATTTCCTTCTCGCCATCCTTGAGCCCTACAATATCGGTCAAGAATTCCGAGTTGAGGTAGAGCGCCTTCTCGCCCGAGACGGGATGTACGCGAACGATTGGGTGCAGGGAATCGATGGGGTCGGTTCGGACAGTTCCTCGGGCGGCGCGGGCATAGCCAATCATCTTTTGCGATGAATGGTTTGCCTTGAGGTCCTGTATCATTGTGCGGAAGGTCGGCGAGAGGCGTTTGTAGGCTTCCACTGTGTCGGCGAATACGGTGTCACCACCAACATCGGGGCATGCTAATACTGGCTGGGTGTTAGAAATGTTGAAGTCTGTAGTTGTGAGTAAAAAAAACTTACTGCCAAGCATAACATATCCAGGAGGCTGTTTTTCATAGCTGACATCGTGATGCCAGAGTGTGGAAGTCAGTTTCTTCTGGAAGAAATTTGCGATTTCCTCTTCGTTGTGATCGCGATGAATGACATGGAAAGGAGGGTGTCCCTTAACGGAACCAGATACAGGCTGAATGCTTAATGGTCCGAAATAGGACATGAAATCTTGTTGAAATTGGGGACCGGCGTGAAGAAAGTCGGATTGTTCTCGGAGAACAACAATTTTCCGCTCGGTTATCAAAAGCGCAAGTTCGTCTTTGCCTGCGTCAGAGAGCTCCTCCATTTTTACACCACTCAAAATAGTTCCCATCTTAGGCGTAATGTGCTTGGCTTTGACACCACCCTTGAAAAGGTTTGGCTTAGACTTGTTTGCTCGCAAGGCTGGGTCATGATACTCGAAGTGCTTAACTTCATCGAACCAGACATCATCTTCCCACTTCGTGTTTATTAGTGGCTGGCCAATGAAATGGAATCAAGCCTATCACTTACCGATGGAAGGTAGCTTGGGAATTCTGTTCGACATTTAGATCTCTGGTCGTATTCATCGGATACATGATTGTATGGGAGGTTGATGTCATAGCTGATTTCTGGGACAGCTACTTCATCCTCTTCTGTGAGTCGACTAGGTGCCATGGTGAATGCTTGAATTGGTATGTATATTATGAATGGTAAAAGAGATGGAATGTGATGAAGATGTCGGATGGAAGACGAAGATTTGATATAAATATGTAGAAGTGAAGTAAAGTCTCAAGGGTCCTCGATAGATTAAGAACTTGATAGTTGGGATATCCTCGGTTGAAGACCTATTAAATATAGCTTGCAGATGAAGGGTTGGGTAACAGAAGAGCTTTAGAAGGGATGCCAATTAACAACCGTTTTCAAATGCGGAGCTCAACGGTTGTCGTGTAGCTTGTTATTTGCTCTCCGTCAGATTGGAGATTATCAGTACTGTAATGCAGTAATAACACTTTAGCAAGCGGTGAGGACCCACGATGGTGTGACATGGTGCTGGTTGCTGATCAGTCAAGGGTAGCATGAACATGGGATAATGGAGAAGAGAAAAGCCCGGCAGCTTAGCAAGGCCTTGTGGGGTCAATTGTGACAGGGGTTATGTAAATGGAATTTCCAGAACATGGTAACCAGTAGGAGATAAAGTTTCCGTCGTAACAAAATGGACTTATGATAATGACGAAGCTTGTATGACCCCTTAAACGCAACGGCCCGTGACACAAAATTGGAATCGTAGCGCGACTAGGAATACCCAAACGTGGCATTAATGCGAGAAAGTCGAAACATCCTTACCTGAAGCCAAGGAAAGAAGTCCAGGAGGGGAAAAAGTACAAGATGAACGACATTAGATCATTGCAGAGCATGCAATAACTGTACAACGAAGCCTTTGCTGGTCTTGAAAAGACTTCAATTAGAACAGCAACTCCTTACTTAATTACCTGCAAGCATGGGACTAAAATTTCACACACATACTAGGTAGATTTAGGGACCTACCTCTTTGCGTAAAGTTTGATGAATAACTTCTACGTTGGGCATAAGGAACAAGAAGTGGAGCTTGAAGCGAGAAGGAACATTCGCTGAAATGTTCTAGCTGCGACTCGTGGAACATGGGACTTGTTGTAACTTCCAAGGCTATGCAGAATGTACAGAGGTAAGAAATGTGTGGAAACTATTCGGGGGATCCGGTACTAAATTGTGGACTACAATCGCGTTTTAATTTACGGTGATATATCCGAAGTGAGCATTCATTTTTGCCCATGTTGAAACTTGCAAGCTTAGACCCCGAAGTGCTTGAAATTCGAAATTAGAAGATTGGAATTTGAAAAAAAAAAAATGATGTGCATGGAAGTTCTAAGTGCGTGTTCGCCAGAGTTTCCACCAGGATTATATTTTCGTCCCACTTGTTCCATAAGTTCCATTGATTTGTTCCACGCTTTGATGGATATTAAACCTTGTAGACTTATACATTTCGAACCACAAAAAAATGGATCAAATTTTGGATTCCACAACGTCAATTTTTTCTCTCCCTCTCTCTCTGTCTTGCACGCTAAAGGTCTGTTTAATTTTGAACCCCCACTTGCCCAATGTTGGTATCTTTTCTTCAATATACTCATAATTTGATGGTAGTAGAGTTCGCGCAATATTCTGGTCATCATCCCATATTCATCCAATCAGCTGATGCTACCCTCGCCCCTCGCATGCATATTTGGGTATTTAATCGTAACATCTTACTGCAGGATTATCGGCCACAGATTTTCATGACACCGTATCGATCAGCAGACCGAGATTTGACAGGGCTTGCCGCATCTCCAAATTTTGCTTCGGAAAGAAAACTATATAAGCCCCGTCCAGTGGTGCTCGATTCATGCATGAAGATTTTCTCTGCTATTGTGGTTACACAACATTTCGTAAATGTGAATAGGTTTTGGTTAATGTTAGATCGTCATGATAATTGAGATACAGTGCCTTGAGCCGCTCGAAATGAATATTCTTAGCTCTTGGAATGATTGACAATTCAAGGCATCCGCAGCCCAAAGTGACTTTTTACAAGACAAGATTGTTCCATGCTACACTCGCACATTACTTCAATGGCCGAGAGTAATGAGGAGAATGATATCCTTGAATTGCCCAATAGCGATGCAAGAGGATACATGAGCTGCTGTGGAACGAATGCCTATAGAATAACAGCGCATAAATGTCGGTCTTTAAACGCTAACGTGAAGCGCGAGTTGGCCACAAGATGAAGCTCGTGGAGAATTCCCAGCTCACAACGACAGTATTGCCCGTGCACAGGTACCGTAGATTTTGTCAACTGTGGATGACCAAAAAAAGCGGTTTCATGTACAAGTGATAGTATTTTCTGGGTGTGTGAGCCCATCTGAAGATGCCCAAGGTGGGGGGAAGGAAAACCGGAGTCATGTCAAATTCGGACGATTTCCCGATGTGTTCCTGATTTGGACCGAGGGGTTCTCTGGAACTTCGCGACGGTATTGATCGACTCTATTGTTGGTGTCGTCAAATCATTTGGCCTCGCAGGTTCGACTTGAGAGTTGCGTGGACCGAGATGCTATATCCATGTATGCAATGAAGTCATTATTTAATAAGCTAGCTTCTTATATACTAACATAAAAAGCCTGTATGTAATGTATAAATATGTTGTACGTGCATCTGGAGCCTTAAACAACCGCTTTAGGGCTGGGTCGGAAGCGATGTAACCGTGTCTAGCTGCAGCATGAGCGGTGAAGAAAGAAACTGTTCTTACTCTGCCTGATCCGTGATGACCCTTTGAGGTTAGCTGCATTATCAATGCAGCATAGATATGATATAGAATCCAATTTGGAAGTTGGATAGTCGTAGGAAGTATCTAGTTAGTGTAGCCTGTGGCTCGATAGATATTTTGAACTATCTTTCGGTTATGCATGAGGCTAGCAAAACCTACATCGTACGATCAGATGATCAAGTGTATGTACGCCTTGTTGATATCAGGAGCTTGCTCTAGTTTGAGGTGATTGTAGGCTTCCAAGAAGTACTTATCATGCAGAAAGCCCGAGTCAGTACATTTAACAGTCGCATCTTAATCAATTCCTGTCCTACCAAAATAATTCAAGGGAGGAGCGTCGTGTGGTTCGCATCATTAATCCCTGTTCATCCTATTCAACGCAGGCTATCGAGGTCATTGGCGCAGACGCACTTTGAGTAGGTATGCCCGACACTCTCAACGACGTCCATCTTGTCTCGGGAGATAGCTCGGAAAGCCGAAGCAGCAGGAACGGCTGGACCTTGCTTTGTCAAAACAGTATGCCGGATTACCATAGACACACTAACTAAAGTTGGCGAGCTTTGTAGGGAATAGCGGCATGTTGATGTAGATGGTGTTTCCAAGAATCAACCGATTTGAAACTTGTGGAATTGCGAAAACACTCAAGATGGCAAGGAGCCATCTGCCGAAGGCAAATAGGTATCCGGGTAAAAAATAGGCTAAACACCGCATTAAATCATGACTTGTAGTAGTATTCGCAAGAATTGCCATTTCGAATCACGAATAATAAACAAATTCCTCGGAGGCGGGAATTTACCCGCCAATCCCACAGTGTTAGTCAAGACTTTGCAAGAGCCTTGCCAGGAGGATTCCCGGTCCCACGTTTTGTGGCAGTGAAACTACTAGACATTGCAATAAACCGTACATGCGCCTTCTCCCAATAATACACTATAGCTATTCTTGTGATGTTTTGAGATGGATAGCAATGTGCGCGTCATCATCGGCCGGTCAAGTTCGAAAACATCTTTGCTCGTGTGGTTTTCTTGTCTGGTCGTCTGTTGAATAAGGCACGCATCAAGTGTGACAAGTTGAGCACCACAGATGAATGCTGACCTGGTCGATTTTGAGATAGGATTCTGCAGGTGCTGGAACAGTATCAGGGAATAGGTATGGGTATTCCTCTCGTATAATACTATCTTCCTCAGGTGGTGAATATGATCATAGTAAATGTGCCGACGAATACTCAAATCGAAACGAAAGAAGGCATAGCTATTTGGAATTGTAAATTCTGCTCCTTTTCATCCGGTCTGCCCGATATACTTTCGCATTCATATTCTTCTCCCCAAAATTTATATCAGGTATCAGGCACAGACTTGATGCCAAATCTAGCCATTGTGCTCAGGATGAAACCCAATATTGCAATCTTCAATTGTTTCGGGATCCTTGATCTTTTGTTCATTGGTGTCTGCCACATAAATCCAGGGTTTGCGCCAGTACACCCCATTGCCATGTGCAGTTGCTTCACCTGCCTTGCAGTGGATCGAACGTGTTTGAGACGTAAAGTCGGCTGATTTTCGCAATGGTCTGATTGATAAATCACCAACGTCATACTTTCTGCTTCTTTGAATTGAATATTCGCTCTGCTTCCCTTCAAGTAATGGTAATTTGTTCAGGTATGTAGATCCTACTTTAGGGAATTTCAAATTGACACATTATTGGTGAGTATCAAAGTGAGACCGGTGTGGAGAATAACGACAATGCTCGCTACCAAGAAATGAGTTTCAAGCTTCTGGAAGCTTTAGAAGGCGGGGCTCGGTCGGCAGGACGGCAAACGCTTAGCTTTCAGGCGAAGCCAGTGACTGAAGGTTTGAAGGTGGAAGCCGCTGTCGTGTTCGATTTCATGTTTATCGTGCTCGTTTGCAAGTACCGAACGCGAAGCTTTCATCTCCGATCATCACTTGTCTGCCGAAGATAAACCCAAATTTACTTGTCGCTCAAAAGTATCGACACATGTCGAAATAAAGATGGAAAAGTTGAGATCGAGTTGGAAAGGCAACCAAGAGTGTTGGGAAAGTAATTTCAAAGAAAGGATCTCGAGAGTTTCGACAACATCCTCAGTCAGACGACAGGGAATGTCGCACCTGGCCCAGGGGATGAAGCCTTTCCGGGAAATAAGATCCTAGGACTCATGTCGTTTTTGGGACCCGATACAGGTAACGATTACTCGAATTAAACTCCATTTCCGATTTCTGACTTCGCGAGAAGTGTCATTGTTTGGTCAGGAGCGAACTGGTAGAGTTTCAGTAAAGCTCGTGAAGGAAATCAATAAAGATATGTATACACTTATTCTCAAGAATGGAAGTAAACGAAGATGCCGTAACCAGATGGGATCACTATGATATATATATTTCCATGTTGCTCAACATCCAAAACCCCTTCTATGGCACAATCCATGCTAGTGAGGTGGAGTATTTTCCCAGCAGCCGCAGCTCGCGCAGTATGCGAAAAATATCATCACGTGAAACTCACTGAAGCGATTTAAATCTCAGGGCGCAAATTATTTTTGCTAAATACCGGCACTGTTTTAGATCGTGAACGAAAGATAGTTCTTTTTGCAAAGGAAGGGGTAACTGATAGCAAGATCGGAATTTTTGGGTCTACGTCCAAAAGTCTTTGGAAAACGAGGTTCATTGGGCTGCCTCTTGTGCTTGGTCCAGAACCTCTCATCTACAATTATACGATAATTACACATTGGTGGCACAGAACGGTGATGCAGCCAAAAGTTCCCTATCATTTACTCAACGAATGGTTCAACATGTACCAATCTGCTGTACGGGGCCGAAAGGTGCGTTACACAAATTAATCAGATGCATGAAGTCTCGCACACTTACCCGTTGGAGAATAACGACGATGAAAAAATCGGTTGGCAAAAGCTTGCCTCCGAAGTGAACGAATTCAGTAATACTATAGGCTATAATACAACATAGAGCACAATCGCCAATGCTTCTAACCCTATGTATATACTGTTTGCGTTGAAAATTTACAACGTTGTCAAGGATTACCCTGGATATGTTACCAAGGGCTGTCGCTTACCTGCATACAGGAAGAATGGGTACTCGTTGTACAGATACTGTTGAAGCATCACGGCGTAATATCCATAGTATTGAAGAACAAATGTTCAGCTCCCCAAGATCGTAGGCATTCTCGAAATATTGTCTTCCGAGGACATAGTGACATCGGAGGATCAAAGGGGTTGGTAGCTCATTGGTGCTGAGATGGGCCACAAAATCATGGACTGGCACGATATCGCTTTCCCGGTGGGATAAGCGTTCGATATTCGCTTTGAGGCATATAGCACGAGAAATCCTAAAGCCGCAAAATGAACGCTCTTATGGTGTTCATGGCTGGTGTAATCTGAAAGACTACCCAGTAAATATCACGGGTTGCCACACGTGAACAGGCATCTTGCCACGATCTGCGGGAAGCTCTCAATTCGAAGTACAAATTGTACGGTGTGGAATTTGACATCGATAGTAAATCCGAGGTGCAATCTATGCTGCTGCTGAAGAGAAAATACCAGCCTGTTAAAGTTCTCTGCAAAAAAGTCATCGTTCTATTCGGACAGCTTAAAGCTTTTGATTATTTGAGGTATTCTCGAATACTCCACTATGCAAATTTCTTGTTCTACACTCTGTATATTCTTAAACATCCAGTTCATTAGTCTTACTATGCGTACTGGTCCCGGTTCTTCACTTGGTTTGCGCTCTTCTCCGAGCAACTTCTGGAATGAGAATCACCCTCTCCACATCAGTGAGCTTGAGAGATGAGAGCTCAAAGTCGTGATGTCAGATATGAACCACCGGATCTGAGCCGGGCTGAAAGTCCATGGTCTATCTAGCAGTGCCAAAGCTTAGAAAATGGTGCTAGAGACTGATCACTCCCTTTCCTCTCCCCCAAACAAGATTCTAAGCGGCTTTACACTTTGGTAAATTAGCCCTCGTTGAGAGCGCGAGTTGGCATCCATTTACCGATGTATGATGATAGATACTTTCAGAATCGAGAAAATTGAGAGATACAGGACAACGAAAGTCAAAGATGATCTTAAAAACAATTGCACATGTACCAGGGTTGTGAAATGACCGACAGATCGATTGCACTGTCAGATCATGTCGGTCAATCGCTTTTTTTTTCTTTGTCAACTGACATATTAAAGATGATGAGGGATTTTGATTCATACAGACCATCTTGCACAAAAAATTCAGAGTATCTAAGAATTCAATAATGTGATATTCATATGACTGTCGAGAGGTTAGCTCTGTCAGGTCAAATGGTTTCATATGATTGATCTTGATATAATCATCTGAAATGTACACCATAATTGGTGAGTTTGGCACTGAAGCTCTGAAAGTTCTAGCTACAGTGCGGTCGTATTTATAACCCCATTCCATCTCTCAGCCGAGATCTTCGAGTGCTGTACATCCACAATGATGATCTGAAACATCCAAATGCGTACAACGGATTCTAACTTCACCTTCAGATACTCGTACGTACACCCGTGCACGTCTACGTGTCCAAAAGTTCCTTTAGCTTTTGAACCTTCTTGAAAGTTAAGCATAAGAACCTTTGAACACTCGCCACAATATTCTTCATTGATCGATGCTAAGTTCTCGAACATCTATAACTTATTGCACAAGTTCGCTCATGAATGTTCAGTCAATTTCTTCTCCACCCCGCGATTGTTTAAAACAATTGCCACGAGTATTCATTATTTTAAAAGTGGAGTCTAGACATCGAGCTGCCTAGGTATACTTGTCCAACACCATTTTGCGACGACCTCATCGTTTCGCCTGCGTTTTAAGATTCGACACTTCCTAATCAGTATCATTTGGGAAATCTAGCGCTCTTTGACCACCATCGATTGGAAATAATCAACCACTCTCTCAATTGTTACCCCTCCTTGATCAATTCAGCCTCGAACGTTCATCTACCGAGTTTCAGAAAAGCCCAAGTATAGTTGATCAGAGCCCCAGGACCTTGACAGCAGGAACTCACACTACGAGTATTCGAATCCCGGATCCAACGACCTCAGATGATGGTTAGATAGAAAAGTCTTAGCTTCCAAAGGTAGAAAGTGTGGGAGAGATATCCATGACCTTCAAAGCCCAATCGGAACTTTATCGTGTGGAGTCTATTGAAATAGAAAGCTCGACAATAATACTGGATATTCTTACCTCTAGATCATCTAGTGCCAACTTGAGTTGGAGAAGGACGTTATTATATAGTTCTCGACACGGACGAGGCTTGATTCTCGCACCAGATGGATAAAATGAATCGATAACACGGGGAAAATGTAATTAGAAGACTTGACGAGCATCCAAGAATTCGCGGAGAATCCTAATAGATAAGTAACAAGATAATGAATGATCCAACAAGCCAAAAATCATAGAAAGTTGAAAGCTGATAGTGGACATAATAAACTGCATGATATTATGACTTGTGAATTTCTGGTGGAGCAGTCAGAGGGCATTGGGGAGTTCGCTAATCCCCCCATAGAAAGTTCTCGAGTAACTTTAATATCGAGCTTTCAGACTTAACACACTATCTTGTAAGACCTTACAATAATAGAATGGAATCTTCTTTTTTCAACCCAAACACCGAATCCAGAACCTTTAAGGCCCCGCTTTTCCCGGCTACCGATGCTAGTTAGACATGCCGATACATCCGACTCAGCCCTGCAGCTAGCGCAATGTAGTGACATTCTTTCGATAGGTATCCGAAGCGCCAGCCAGACAGACACAGCGTTTGCGAGTTTGCGAGAATGCGAGAATGCGCAGTATAGGATGATGTTCAATGATACACATGTAGTATCTATATCTCAAACAAACCCCTTGATTCTTTTCGTTCACTTGCAGTTCATCCAAACTAGGACCTTGTACAAACCGTTTCAATACCGCACTAAATCCTAAAGCATAAACGTCCTATCTAGTGGGGACATGGACTTAGAGAACAGCCCACAAGGAAGATGTAGTATTGAAGTTTGTGTTTCCCAACCCCAACATTTCCTCAAGAGATATCGAAACTATCTATTTTAATACTCGATAAACTCTCCATGAAAATCTTAACAGAATCAAACATAAACTCAAATTCTAAATCAATTCCACAGCACTGGAAATGCGCTTCTCAAGGCGTCCATCAATCTGTGCACCCACTATAAGGTCAGTGACCCCAACCCCAGCACCCCAGCCATCATGATCCTCGTATGCGACTACCTATTGCAGAATCTCTGCCTCTCCACACGCGCAAACTCTCAACAACAATTGTCAAGCATCCACCTGCATGCGCAAACAAAGCCACACTCCTCGACGCGCGAATCGTAGCTGCGGATACGAAGGTTTGCGTGCTCTTCAAGAGCGAGGATACCGCTGCAGGGCGCCAAGCGGCCAAGCGTGTCTTGCTTGTATCACACGCAAAGGCTTACATCACAATTATATTGGGTTGTGTATGGATGAACCTTTAAGGATCGCCGGGTGCTGCGGCTAGGATGTTTTGCAGTGGTGTGTGAGGAGGTATAATAAGAGTGCTTATGACCCGTACAGTGAATGTGTCTGTGGTGCTTGCTTACTGTTGTATTTTTTTTTATCCTCGAGTGCAATTGGAATTACATCTATCTTCCTCATTTAACCTCTATCTCTCAACCTCTACACTCCTCAATCTTCTACTCAAATCCATCAAAGCCCGATCATCAAACCAAGTATCCGATAACAACAAGATTATCTCGCATTAAGATTAAACAAAATCAATCCATCCATCCATCCTCCCAGAAAACAAATCTGAAAACATGGTCGCCGCAAATCCCCGCACTACTCTCCACCCAGCCATGATCCGTCAACCACCCGCTGCCTACAACGCCAAAGGTCAAGATTTCGAAATGAGGGAACCTGTATGTTCATTCCTTTCTCTATCTCCCACTCTCACCCTTCCCCTCCTCTCCCTCCTAAACCCAAACCCAAACCCACACTAACCCCCTCAAGTCCAAACACGCCAACATGTCCATGTCGCCCACTCCCACCGGCACACTTTCCCGCACCAGCAGTACCGATTCCCATGCATCCGGTAGCGCACACGCTGCAGGAAGTGTTCCCGTACACCAGAGAGGTGGAGGAAGTGGGGGATTATGTTGTGGAATCTGTGCTGGGTTGGCTTGCTTTGAATGTTTGGAGTGTTGTTGTTAGATATTGGGTAGAGGGGGGATGAGGAGAGGTAAACGGAGCACGTTGGGTTTATTTTTTTGGGTTGCGGGGTTTGGGGGTTTGATAGGGTGGGGAATGCTTCACTCGTGATGGATTGGGAACAATTGGATGGATCACGCCTGTTAGCCTGTTTATGACTTTATGAAATGAAACTGATTTTACTCGGTACTTCTGCGTTTAAAGTGGTCATATTTTGTACGGATCGCAAAGGTTGAAATACGTTGATGGATTCATGTTCATTAGCATTTATCTGAAGGTGATTTTACAAGTGGTATCAAACAAGTAGTGACTGGCATTTATGTTCAATTATATGTTCTTCCGCTCCAGCTCTAAATTTGACACGCAAACTACAAGCCGCAATCCTCGCATGTTCTCCACCGATTATATGGCTGGTGTTTGCAATATAGGCGCAACGCAAAGAGTTCTTCTGTACTCAGAAGATATAGGAGAGTAAGAATGAAACGTTTTCTCGAATAGAAAATATACTACTAAGATTTCTCTTCTTCAACTTCCTCCTTGACCTTGAAATCTTGTTTCGCTGGTCTTTCTCCAAATATCGTACTGCCGATTCTGACTTCTCCGCTTCCTTGTCGGATCGCCTGTTGGATCATTAGTTCTAATGTCACAATAAAATCTCCCAAAAGAAGGGAACAAGGAGATTAGAGGTATGAGATGAAACAAACGCACCTCTTCAAAATCCTCACTCATACCCATGCTCAATTCCAACCCCTCTATTCCCAACTCCTTCTCAACTCTATCTCTCTCCTCCCTCAACACTCTGAAATCCTCATTTTCCTCACCTTCTTTCATATGGCTTCTAGCGATCGCACCAATAGTCATAAGTCCCACTAGTTTTAAATACGGACATTCTTCAATGACGTATTTACATAATTCGGTAGTGTCTTTCCCAGGCGAAACGCCGGATTTTGAGGATTCACCTGAAGTATTGAGTTGGATGTGGATGTTCAAGGGGGAGGGCTTTGAGTTCGAGTCAGCGGGCATAGGAAGAAGAGAGCGTCCGAGGGATAATTGGGAGGCCTTCTTTTGAGAATCGATGGAGGAAACGAGGTGGAGGTTGAAGACTGTGGAGGCGAGAGGTTTGCATTTATCTAATGATAAGGTTAGTGTCAGGTTTTGAGAGAAGATGAGATGATGAGGCCTGATTAAAGTAATCTAGACAGGATTTCGAAGCTCATTCAGGCGTAAGAGCATCCAAGATCTATTTCTCAAAACTATCATGTGACTCATCCCGACCTCAGTTGCTCACTGATCTTTTCAGACGAACACAACTCAAGCATGCATAGAAAAATTAGACGTACTACTCTGTAACCCTCCAATAAAATGCCACTTGATACTCCTAGGCAGGATCTCCGCCTTTTCCATCAACTCCTGTGCATAGTTCTCTCCAAAATGTTCGACATTTGCTTGCTCATGAAGAGCTAGGATATCCGTTGCTGGCTTGAGTTTAGAGACTGCTACTAATCTTACCTAGCTTTTGCGTCAGTACACTCGTGGGTAAATGGGTTGAAACAGATATAGATAGATGAACAGAAACAACAGTTGGGAGGATGCGAAAGAGAGGCACGTGTAGGGATGTATGGTTTCATGCAGGTGAGGGGCAATGAACAAACATTTCTGGTTCCTGCGGCGTTGGTGACACGTTCAGAGACGGATTGAAAAGCTGAGATGAGGGTTTTGGCCCGGGCTGGGTCGCATGTGAGCTTCATTCTTAGATTTGGATCTAGGTTACGTTTGTTGTTGGCTGTCAAGTGTTGATTTGGTGGGTTTGTAAAGAAGATTTGTCAACCATCTTCGGCTTTTTGGTGGGGAGTTTATCGATAAGAATCTATGCGTAGAGCGGAGCGTGGCGGAATTACTTGGCATTGCGAAAATGAAAAAAAGCATGGTCCATATTATTAAGGACACGAGAGATTTTACTAGATGAAACCCTTTCGAACCAAAAAAATCTATTTCGGTAAAGCATGACATCCACGCAGCAAACAAATTTTATGCCAGGGGTTTTGCTTGTTTGGGACTTTGAGACCAGATGAGTTGTGGATTCATCGTATGTCACTGTTTATGTGTTCAGTGTGGTCGAGAACGCAATAGCGAGGATGAGCCTGGCGAGGGTAGGTGACTAATGGTCTAAGGAAGGAGGCACCGAATAGTGTTGTTGGTGATACGTACCCTCCTCGACGTAACGGTTGATACGGTTGATACGGTTGATGAGTTGGTGGTGAGGTAAGTGGATAGTGTTGGAAGTTTGTGGTTGAAATGGTCGAGAAGGGACAATTTTTCGAAGAATTCAATGTTGAGAGGTCGTGCAAGTGGTGGCTTGGATTCGAAGGATGATTTTCAAGATAAGGATTTATTATTATGAAGCATAAATTGATTGCATGTGGGTTTGATTTGACGAGATTGTCATTATGCATAGATATTAAAAGTAGATGGAGTACATGAGATTGAAGGAGGTTATATTAATGGGGCGAACTATATGTATGTGTAGCAATATGTGTAGCAATATGTGTAGCAATATGTGTAGCAATATACATACTTTCTCTGAAATGATAGAAGCACAATCTGGATCTTCTTCTTTGTCTCGTACATTGTACGCTGGGAAATGTTTCCACTGATGTACATGCGTACTCCAAGATATTATTACACTTGACTCTGGGGTTGTGTTCCATGATCCAACATACTGGATGGTGCATTATTTCCAAAGATCACGATAATTCTGGAGCCTCTATCGTCATGCTCCCAAAGTAGTGGCTGAGATGGTCGACGGATCTACCAAACTTCCCACATTTTCCTTCCAAAAATGTATATCATCGGCGTATCCAATTCATGATTTGATCGGGAAGCGGCTGTGTACTTTTGGAGATCCGCACTGTTCAGTAGTTTGTTTTTCTTAGGTTCGATGTGAGTAAAATGGAGACTGATTGTACATCGTAGAATACCGGTACGTCGTAAAGTATCTGACATTGCAGAACACATGGCGGCATTTGCACTTAGACTTGGACTCGGACTTGTTATACGTGGACAATGGAGCAAGATCGTGACGAGTCACTACACACGAGGAGCAGCGATGATGAAGTACCGCATACGAAGACGTGAAGAAGTATCACACTTCTGCTCTCTCCATCTTGAAGATGTTCCAATTACACACACAACACATGCAAAATTCTTCTTTTAGTCCATGATCATCATTGCATATCCCGTATACGAAGTGACTAATGCACAATATTACGAAGGGAGCCCCTTAACCCCCCAATCGTGAAACTCGTAAGGCCATTAGGAAGTTTACCCGATTGCCTACCTGCGTAGTTCTTTACACATTCTTCGTTTTTGGTCCCAGATCTATCTCTCTGTGGTGTGAATTGATTTTTACGGAGGATGGATGAGCAAGCTAGTCTTCTGTAACTGCAATATGAGAGGTCGAATCTCTGCACCGAGTAAGCCTTTTTTCTTGGTGGTGGCCCGTTGGAAATCCCTATTGGCTATCATGACCATGGATGGCTATCTGTACCTTGCATTCTCGACCATTCTTGACCCCCTCTTACAGTCCTGACCCCCTTGATAATGTTCCGTGCCTTTAAGACAAAATGTTGAACTTGAACCCCAGTATTAAGAATTTTATTAGATGGCATCTAGGTCCTAGCTACCTAGCTATGTAGGCACGTAGCTAGGTGGAGAGAATTAAACTTATAATAACTTATCGACTCTTGTCGTCCCTTTCGTCCCTTTCGACCTTTTCGACTTTGGCTCCATTTTTCTTCTGCTCAAGGGACGAGATTTACATCTTCAGCTTTCTCCACAAGGTCTCTTTCGGTCTCCTCTCTTCTTGTCAATCTTTACCTCGTATGTCCCGTTTCTGCTCTTAGATCTTTCATCACCTCAAGAAACGGAATAGAAGAGAAAAAATCGATACACACGAATCGAATTTCTATTACGAAGATTATTCTTTCAATTCTTTTAATAGATTCAATTCAACCGTCATTCTTTCTTCCTTTCTACCCTTTGGACTTTGTTTCCTTCATTTCATTATTGGAAAGAGTTGGTTCCAATTCTTCTGTTGGAACTAGCACAATACTATCTATCCAACTGATTATTCTTCCGATTGTTGATCAAAACCCCTCGAACACGCTCGACGCGAGTTATAACACGAATGACGGCCATCCATTGAATCAATTGATTTCATACATTCGTTTCGCAGACTATCAATTGATTGAAATCTGCTAAGATTCTCTCTTGAGATTCACCACTTACACACTTTGTGCAAATTATTATTTTTATTTCTAATTTAGTTTTACATTTGAGACGAGCAACATTCCATAAGGAATCTTATCTCCCCCCCCCCCCCCCCGCCACTGATTCAATCTCAGATCTCCAGAAAGATCTGCGATTTTATACTTGCTTTCTCCACACGAAACCCCTACTTTTCGATTAAATGTCACTTCGTTCCCCTCGATCACCAACAGATTTCTCGCGGCGTGGCTTTCAGCCCATAGACGGCGGCGATATGACCGAAAACATCCCCCTCACACAAGTGAGAACTAATGCCTCTTCCACAGGAGCACGAAAGCCTGGAGAAGGAATACTGGCAGGAAGCTCGGAAAATGATTCTGGCAAAGAAGATGAGAAGCAAGGAATGTTTAGAAAAGGATTTGCCGGCAGAAGGAAAGTCCATCCCTCGAGAAGAGGAACAAACGGAGAGGAGGTTTCTGTCAATGGCTTGGGCAGATTTTACAACACAATCATCAATTTCTCGGTGGTCACTCGTTACATGTTCTACGTTGTGCCAATTGGCATAATACTCGCCGCACCAATCGTTGTTTTCGCTGTCTTGTACCCAACGGCAACTATTGGAAAAATGAAATTATACTTGTTCTTCACTTGGATTGAGATTATCTGGCTTAGTATTTGGGTTTCGAAGCTATGCTCTAAAGCCATACCATACATCTTCATGTTTTTGTGCGGAGTTGTCAGCACTGGCGTTCGAAAGTACGCAACTATCCTGAGAGCTTTGGAAATTCCATTATCCTTGGTTGGATGGGCTATTACCAGCTTAGTCACCTTCACGGCCTTGACGACTAAAGAATTGAATAAGCTGCACAAAAATGGCAAAGACTATGATGGCACCATGGATCCATGGGTTAATACGATGAAGCGTGTTCTAATACCGACTTTGATTTCCACAATCTTACTCTTGGTAGAGAAACTCATCGTCCAACTGATCAGTGTCAATTATCACCGACGTTCTTTCGATGGACGTATCAAAGAATCAAAGCACCTTATCCACTTGCTTGGTCTCCTCTACGAAGCATCCCGAACCCTGTTTCCAATGTACTGCCCCGAATTTGCAGAAGAAGACTACATTATCAGCGATAGTATCGAAGCCGTCCTTCAAAAGACGAACAGAAGACTATTGGGACATAACAGATCCGGTTCAAATACGCCAATGAAGCTTATCGGAGATATTGGCCGTTTTGGTGACAAAGTTACCTCAGTCTTTGGAAATATTGCATCTGAAATTACTGGAAAGCAAGTTTTCAACCCCAATTCTGCTCACTCCGTCGTTATCGAAGCACTTGAGAAGACCAAATCCTCCGAGGCATTGGCGAGACGTTTATGGATGTCTTTCGTCGTTGAAGGGAAGGACTCTTTGTCTGCAGACGATCTTGAGGAGGTCCTTGGCGCTGGTCGCAAGATGGAAGCCGAGGAAATTTTCGAAGCTTTGGATAACGATGGAAATGGCGATATCTCTCTTGATGAAATGATCATGAAAGTAGTGGATATTGGCCGCGACCGAAAATCAATTGCAAACAGCATGAGAGACGTTGGACAGGCCATTGGTGTTCTTGATCAGGTCTTGCTCATTATCGTTCTCATTATTGTCATTTTCGCCTACAGTAAGTTTCAAACTCAAATTTTCAACCGCAGGGTCACACTCTAATCATTTGAATAGTTGCTTTCCAAGATACTGGTTTCCTCACCACATTGACAACTGCCGGCACGACTCTCTTGTCTCTATCTTTCGTTTTCGCTGCAACTACTCAGGAGTTCCTTGGTTCTTGCATCTTCCTTTTCGTTAAACATCCATACGATGTTGGTGATCGCGTCGATATTAGTTCCGAATACCTTGTTGTGGAACAAATCTCCTTACTTTTCACCATTTTCAAACGCATCGACAACATGAAGATGGTACAGGTACCTAACATTGTACTAAACAACCTTTGGGTCGAGAACATCACTCGTAGCAAGGCAATGAAAGAACAACTCGACATGTACATCTCCTTTGATACTACCCTCGAGGATATTGAACTCCTACGCACGGAAATGGAAAATTTCGTTCGTCATCCAGACAATGCTCGTGACTTTCAATCAGACATTGTATTGGAGGCTGTGGGCATTGGAAACATGGATAAGCTTCAACTCAAGGTCGAAATCAGACATAAATCTAATTGGCACAACGAAACAGTCCGCGCTGCTCGTCGCTCCAAATTCATGTGTGCTCTTGTTTTGGCCTTGCGCAAGGTTCCAATCAACGCTCCTGGAGGTGGTGGAGATGCTCTCGGTGGACCTGCCAATCCCAACTATTCTGTCGCTGTTACAGATGAATGGGCGGCCGAAGCACGGGATAAATCATCAACCACTAAAGACTCAAAGCGCCTCATACCTACAAAATCTCTCAAAAATACAAATCCAGATCTTGGTCCAATAGATACAGAGGAAGAGGCCGCGGAACATTTGAATGCAAGGCGCCCTGGTTTGGACTTTGCGCATAGTAACAGTTACAACGACAACGATGATATATCGACATTGGGAGACAACAATTTCGACCACCAATATGGCAATTCAAGGACATCTCTGATGAAGAGAGCAAG